AGGAAAGATAATGGTCTTAAGAGAGCGAACCAGTGGATAGCAAATGAATTCACATTAAGCCTGCTAGTTTTAAGTGGATACTTATAATGACAAAACGAGCCAACAAACCCGCGAAGGTATGTGATGCAAACAATCCAAGAAAGTAAAAGTTGGGGAGATGAGGAGTAACTCCTAGCGCAAAGATGTGTGCTACCTACAATGACCAACTGCAGCTGAAAAGTGTTGACGTACGTAATACGAAGGAATGATAATGGTACTAAGGTCGAGAGAGCATCGACGGCTAGCAATGGCATTCGAGTGCAGCTTTCCGGTTGCTAGTGGATACCTACAGTGTCCCAGAATAAGACAACAAACAGCAGATGTATGTAACGTAGACCGTCCCAGAGAGTTAAGGTTGGAGGCATAAAAGAGTGACTCTTAGCAGGCTCCGGATATGCCAGAGATGGTTGCAGCCTACGAAGAATGGTTGCTGCTAAACAGGCGTGCCGGAGTTAAGACGAAGAGCAGGTAATGGCGCTAGGACTGAGGTTATCTATGATCAGCAATGGCATTTGGCTGAAGCCTTCTAGTTGCTAGTGTATACCCACAATGTCCCAGAATAACTCAAGAAACAGCAATTGTATGAGACGCAGACAGTCCAAAATAATAAGGGTTGGATAAATCAAAGGGTGGCTCTTAGCAAGCTCTGGATACTTGCAGATGCATGGAGCATACGACCACTAGCTGGTTCTAAACTGAGGCCGAATTTAAGACAATGGGCAGGTGGTGGCGCTAGAAAAACTATCAGTGGTCAGTTGTAGCCATTCCAATAAAAAGCTTGGTCACTAGTGTACGCCTACAGGATCACAAAATGCATCAACAAACCTGCTAAGGTAAGTTATACAGACTTTCCAAAAGCATGCATGATGGAGAGACGAGGAGTAAACTCTAGCGAGCGCCGGATATGTTCAGAGAAATATGGAGCCTACAAGGAATCGATGTAAAAAATCATGAATAAAACAAGTCGAGCGACACATAATGGCGCTAAAAGGAAGAGTATCGGTGTCAAGCAAAGACATGCGGATTATCATTCTAATAACTAGTGGATACCTACAGTGACAGCATAAGTCAACAAACCAGCGAAGGTATGTGATGCAAACAATCCAAGAGAGTAAGAGTTGGAGAGGTAAGGAGTGGCTCCTAGCGCAAAGATGCATGCTACCTACAACGACAAACTGCAGCTGAAAAGTGGTGACGTAGGTAATACGAAGGACTGATAATGGTACTAAGAGCGAGTATCGATGGCTAGCAATGGCATTTGGGTGAAGCCATCTAGTTGCTAGTAGATAACTACAGTGTCCCAGAATAAGCCAACAAACAGCAAATGTATATAACGCAGACGGTCCCAGAGAGTAAAGTTTGGAGGAATTAAAGAGTGGCTTTTAGCAGGCTCCGAATATGCTCAGAGATGCATGGAGCCTATGAAGGAAAGCTGCTGCTAAACATAGGTGCAAAAGGTAAGACGAAGAATTGATAATGGTACGGGGGGAGTCAGTGTATCGGTGGCTAGCAGTGGCGTTTTGATGAGGCCTTTTAGTTACTAGTGCATTTCTACAGTGTCCCAGGATAAGTCAACAAACAGCAAATGTACAATAGACATACTCTGCTACAGGATAAATGCTGGAGGGATAAAATAGTGGCCCAAAGCAAGCTCCCATTATGCGCAGAGATATTTGGAGCCTATGAAGGATTGCTGTTGCTAAACCGAAGTAAGATGAAAAGAGATAATGGCGTTATTAGCGAGAGTATCAGTGATCAGTAATTGTATTTGGATAAAGCCTTCTAAGTACTATTGGATACCTACAGCGATAGAAAAAGTCAACAAACTGGCGAAGGTATATGATGCAAACAAACCGGGAATAAACGTTGGGGAGATAAGGAGTGGCTGCTGGCGCAATATGCACGGTACATGGAGCACCGTGTTTTTGGTGGGTTGCTGAACAGCCGTCGTTTCGGTGCGAGAACGCTGGTCCGTGAGACAACTATCAGCAGGTTGTTGTTTGCTGATGACTGTGCGTTGTTTCCACAAAGCGCGGATGAGTTACAGCCCATGAACAGTGGTCTGGCTTCGATATCGGCTAAATTCGGGCTCACCATTAATAAGAGCAGCCTGTCTGTCTGTTTCAGTCTTCAACGGAGTTGCAGGCTTCATTATTGCCCCGAATCAGTCTTGGTGCTGAAGTATTGGAAACCACCACCCGCTTCTGCTACCTTGGGAGTGTGATGTGGACTAAGCAACAGCTACTCAGTTAACTTCCGACCCGCGTCTCGAAGGCAGGGGCGGCATTCAGGAAGCTTGAGAACCGAGTGTGGAATAGCCATCAGCTTACCGCTGGCACGAAGCTAATGGGGTACCAATCGGTCCGTTATTCTATATGAAGTGAAACTTGGACGGTTTAAAGGCGGGATGTGCGAAATCTTAAACGGTTCCAGCAGCACGCTTTTCGACGGATCCTGCGCAGCGGAATGAGCGCCAGAGTTGAGGATACCCAAGGGTTGCGTCGAAGTGGCATGCATGCAGTATGCCGGGACACCTGAGGTGGCTCGGTCATGTGAGCCGTATGGATTCGACGCGGCTACCGAAACAACCCTTGCATGGTCAGCTGAGTATTGAGAAGTGGAATGCGGTGAAACCAAAGTTACGTTACAAGGACGTGAGCAAAGTGAGTCAAGTTCCACTCTTGACTGCAAGTCATGGGAATCAAATGCGGTTGATAGGCGTGCACGGCTCGATCTGATCACGACGGCAGTTGCCGAAGTGCGGGAGAAAGACCACATGCATGAAGAGAAAAAGCGGAAAGTGCGGAAACAGCAGGCATCGATAGGTTGTACTCCATCGATATCGAACGCCTGGTTCTGTAGCGCATGCGGTCGCGAGTGCCTGCGTCAGGCAGGCCTAGTGAGCCATAAGGGAGGCCACACAAGACCACCATCGAAGCGACGACGGGTACGGCAGAGAATATAGGCAGAACCAGCACAGCGTTTGTAAGTACGCTGCATGCGATTTACTAACCGCGCCCTTTCATTCTAAGTCTATTTATTTCAGGTGGTGGGTTTGCAATTTTGTTCTAATGCCTTTCTTTCTCATTTGAATATCAACCTGTACTATCTTCTATAAACTTGCACACGTCGCTGAAGTTAATTGCAGTCGACTTTGATAACATATTCACGTTTGTGGCATTTCCTTAAAATAAATCTTTTGACCTATTAACTTATGGCGGATTCATTCGTAACCAATTAATATGGTGTACTTTTAGTGATAAGTGAGTCCGCCGTATCTGTATGCATTATTCGATTTATTTTATTTCATCTTGGCGTTTCTAGTTATTGGCTATTGCTCGATGTCACCGGTGTGGCTACGCTTGATGTGCATGCTGATAAGGTGGCCATCTGTCTATTACCCACTACTTCATTCATATTGGCTCCAGGAGCCAGTTAATCATTGCTGGATGGGACGGGTGCACGATCTTTGTGGCCATGCAACGCTCGAAGTGCGGTTCCAAGCATTCAATGTGGATCGGACCACGGTCTAACCACTACCTTGTGTGCGATAGGTTTCCCAACTACAGCGTGCTTGTGTTTGCCTGTGAGGCACTGCGGGCCGTCGCCGTGGATGATACGTAGCTCCCATCCACATTCATTCCGGTCTTATGCTTTCGGGTTTACATTGGATATGGGGTGTGTGGGTTTAGCTGTGGGTGTCGCAGCGCAAGCTACCATGGTCCCAATGCAGGCGCAGGCATCCTGTGACTGGCCAAAGTGACAAGCAAATCCGCAACTTAATGCAGCCATATATATATATATCCCGATACGTGAGATAATAGCACTTGTCTCTAGTTAACAACGGTTGTACGAGTGCTGTGAACACACCAGAATTGCACATAGTGGTAAGGATTATCTTCCGGTCTTTACTAATCCTTCTACCTCTCGTGGTATGCAGTTAAACGTCTGTGATTTTGCAGAACTAAGAGGCTGTTTCCAGTTAAAATTTAGTCTCTTCTGCCTTAATATCATGGTTTTTATCATGAAAGGAGCACAATACCCTCAGCGGACCTGGTATTGTCCACCAGTGTCTTGCTTTTGAGGTGCGCCAGTATCGTCGCTCTTTTGCTGTAGCACATTATTACCGTGAGTTCATGAACCGGGTTTCATTCATGCTGCAGTACGTGTCTGTGATTATTATTCCTTCTTAAAATGGTTTTTCATGTCTTCTAATATATGCTTTCTGCATCAAGTGAAACAGCCTGGCGAACCCAACGAAAAAGGAACGATTAAGTGCTTTCATTAAATGTGGGGCGCTCAATCCCTTTTACAACTGTACACATTCCTTGTTAAACTCAAAATGCTTAGGCTTATGCTGGACGTTTATTGCATCGCGGTTAAAAATGCACTTGAAAAGTCTACAAAATGTTGCATGATGGAATAAAAAGTGACAGTTTTAAAAGAAGCCCAGAAATAAAACTTACTAAAAATTTAAATTGTTGCATTAAGAATCTTGAGTTGATGTAATAAAAGATATAGCATTTTATTCAACTGAGGTGCATCATTTATCATTAGGTTGCGTATTGTTTTATAGACTTAGTCCTTTGTCGTCGTTATGGCGACTTGATTAACGTTTACACATTAAAGGCCGTCTAACTACGGAACTCATGCACTAACAATGAAATAGAATTAGCAAACGGAGAGAAGGGTACGAGTAGGTACGTTTAAGAAATAGTTAAAATACAATTATGCAAAAGTAATATAAAAACACAATATGTAAAATTAATATATGAACAAAAGTTAACAATTGCAGTCTATCCATTTACGAGACATTCGCGTGTGCGAATGTTAAAGGAGAGTGTGAACTAATGAGTAAAGCAGTGACCATACAAGTTATACTAATAAACGACGTTATTGATTACATTCTGTATGAATTATTTCCCATAGTTAATGTAGCACAAGTCAGTAATAGAGCTGCTCCAATTACTGCTGGCGTTACAAACCTCCATAACATATATATTCCCAAGCTGATATGTGAGTGAAACCCAACCATATATCTCAATGGATCATTCGGCCGATGATGCGTATCCTCATATCACAGTGGAACGCACATTGGCAATTATAAAACCTGATGCCGTCAACTTCGCTGAAGAAATAGAAGAAAAAATACTTCAAAATGGGTTTTTCATAATCCAAGTAGGCTATTAGACCTCATTTATCTCTGAAGAAAAGACGAGTTCGCCTCTCACCGGAGCAGGCTAGCGAATTCTATTCTGAACATTACGGGAAGATGTTTTTTTCATCTTTGGTGTCATACATTAGCAGCGGACCTATTGTTGTTCTAGTTTTGGCGAAAGAAAATGCGATTACAGCGTGGCGGGACTTGATGGGACCTGCAAATTCAACCAAAGCAAAATCACTTGCTCCGCTGAGGTTGCTATTATTGTATCGTGATTACTTTGAACTTTGCAGTTTGCGCGCCGTGTATGGTACCGATGATCAACAAAACGCCGTCCACGGAAGTGTGAGTTCCACAACTGCGGAGAAAGAAATTCGCTTCTTTTTTCCGGATAGTGAGTCCAATGGCTAACAGTTTACTTGCATTTAAATTCTATTCCATTTTCGCTTTTCCTATTTATTATAAGCATTTTGCATGTGTAGTATTCATTAAACTACGGGTGTCATAGTTGGCAGACGGAAGAATGTTTATCAGGTCCACCAATTGCTAATCAATGTTGTTACTATACGCTTCTTTGTGGTACGATGTGTATTCACGGCTCATTGCAGATGCAACGAAGCAACGCGATCCCAATGTCCCTATGGAGTTCATGTCTTAAAAATGGTTTTAGTCACTTCTTCCGCGGTGCTTCGCTAATTGTCTCTAGTAGACTTTTCTACTCATTCATCACTCAGGCAAATAGGATGACATCTGGGTCAATGCATGGTCCGTTTGGTTTGAATATCTTTCATCTAGGGTCTTATGTCCAGTATTTGACGTTTAGCTGAAATTACTTGTACAGGGACTACCGAATTCTTACCAAAGCTATGTCTACTGTAGATGAGGTCTCCTCTAAGTTGGAACTATATGCTGAACTGCTGAATTCGAGACTACGAGACTGGGTTTAAAAAGAATCTCTGAATCTGCTCAAATAGAACGTATACTAAAAGGGAGAATGGGTGTCTGGTTGCCCATATTGTAGAATCTGACTGACATATGACGTGAACATAAATCGTAAGATCCATGAAGTCATTCTGTAGGATGATTTTACTAAAATATTCAGCAGCCTCATTGCATTGTCTACCTTTCTCATTGCGACCTGGTATGTCTTGAGGTAACTAAACAAGATGCTTGCAAGATCCCTCTCCTGAGTGGTATTACTAAAGAGAAATCTATCTAGGTGTTAGACACCATACGGATCGGTATCACCGATTACCACGATTGACTAGCAGTTCCCGCTTGTATAACCAGCACATGTCGAAGAGTTCGGATCCTGTACGAGAAGTTGCTTCTCAACTTCCTCGGAACTAAATTTGACGTGCTCTAGAATATAGCAATGAATTGGCAAACAGCTGCTAAACAGCTGGTGTTCAACTGCGTAGACCACAAAGTACTTCGCCGCTAACAGCTTAGATTTATATTGTCGTCGTGCAACACCTTTCTTTATTTGAACGAGGATAAAGCAAAGATGTCAACGCCAGCCTTAGCAAGAATAGTTTCTTTGCTTCAAGGCTTGGCTTCCATTACTAATCCATTTAAGTCATGTTGTCGGTTGTTTCGCTTTTCGGGATGCAAATGTTCCTGACGGCTTTGTAAGCTTAGTTCCCTCTCCGTTTACCGTCATCTGTCCGTTAATTTTTCTTTCTAGACCAATCCAAAGTAGAAATTTGGAGAGCAAACTTCCGCTGCAGTTATGAACAAAATGTTTATTGAGCAACGTCTTATAAAATAGTAGTTCCCGATTCTTGATATCTATGGACTGCAAAATACTCTATTCCATGACGCTTGCAGATGCTGCCATTCTTGACGGGTCATTGTACCAAAACGTTGCTATGGTGGGTGTCCTGATCGTACCTTTTATGGTATTTTGTTAACAGAAAAAATTGCGCATTGATCACTTTTCCCAAGAGGTTAGAGTATTACAAACTAATAGCCGTCAGATGGAGTTAGTGTGGTCTTCAAATCTAAAATATCTGGTGTTTGCTCCGGAATCATTCGTGTTGGTAACATGACATGCTATGTCTTGTTACTTTAGAAGACGATATCGTGGTGGGCAAATTTAAACGACTCCGTTGGCGGAGCAGTTAAAAAACGTCCAAGTTGATGTTATGTGTTCTGTTTACGCCGATAATAAGGATAACCAATGCAGCCACTCTGGTCATGATACAGCCACCTTCCAAATCAAAAGACAAAGGCATCTGGCGGAACTTGTATGGAGCACTCGGGAGACGAAAAATGAATAGGCATGTGGTCAAAATAAATAGTTCATGAGAGAAAGACCTAAATGAAAGTACCTGGTGATAGCAACTACTGCACCATTTCTCGGCCAAGTTGTCGTCTTGGGCAACAGAATTAATCTGAGGGGCATCCAGCATGAGTCTACTCAATTAATTTGAGCCGTGCATACGCCACTTACTTGTGCAGGTGTGTAGGTGTGCGTGTATAGCCCGTCGACATAACTGTCAACGACCAATTGGACGGGGCAAGTTACGGACTTTGGTATCCGATGGCAACAACCTGCCTTAGGCACAGGAGACACTGATAAGTGTCGCGAAATCCTGTGCTATGTTGCAAGGGTAGTGTGTGACTGATGTAAGACGGAAACAGCAAATTCCTCATCCTTACTACTTGGGGATAGTGCTACTGTGCCATCGCGTTGTAACGAGATGACGCAACCAAAAACGCAGACATCTCCAAGTAGCAAGGATGAGGAATTTGCTGTTTCCGTGTTACATCAGTCACACACTATCCTTGCAACATAGCACAGGATTTCGCGACACTTATCAGTGTCTCCTGTGCCTAAGGCAGGTTGTTGCCATCGGATACCAAAGTCCGTAACTTGCCCCGTCCAATTGGTCGTGGACAGTTATGTCGACGAGCTATACACGCACACCTACACACCTGCACAAGTAAGTGGCGTACGCACGGCTCAAATTAATTGAGTAGACCCATGTTGGATGCCCCTCAGATTAATTCTGTTGCCCAAGACGACAACTTGGCCGAGAAATGGTGTAGATGCACAAAAACTCGCTTGTTGGCTGATCAAGTATTGTGCACACTAGAGGACTTCATGGCAGGTCATTCTGATTGGTCCAGTTTAAGGTAAAACGATACCATCGGCTTACTCTCATTGGTTAACCAATCGGCTACAGGCGGCATACCACTAATCTTCTCCGGGATGCTCCAGATAGAGAGAGAGAAAGCTACTTTCGATGGCTGCTATGGATGGGCCCCAATAACACCTCCCTCACGAAAAGTGATGCACAACTTCCTCTTGTGTCCAGCTGCATTCTGACCACGGACCTCCGTATCCGATCAGTCCATCGTCGTGGTTGCAAGCTCGTTTATTTTGTGATCATAGGACGGGGCTCATTAGGTGCCTCCTGATTTCCAGGGTGTATGTCGAAATTGTCTAGCAGAATATCCAGTGGCAGCAATCGTTCACTGGTAGCTATTTGAAGGCTGGTAGGCCGCTGCTGACTTGCATGTCTGGTCAAAACCATAAAACCCACTCGAACTTTATACAACGCTTGTCCAAGTTTGCAGTCGATCGAGCCTGTATTCCAGTGTGGTCTTCCAGGACGATAGTCCATGACTAAAACCCTCTGTCCTGGGTGAAATAGACGTACTTGCGTCCTGTGCCGCTGATTGAAGTAATTTTCCATTTGCACGTTCCTCTCTTGCGGAGCGATATGCGTTGGAAGCAGCAAGGAATTCAGGGTACGGAGTTTCCCGCCCATAAGCGCTTCTGCTGGGGACAGCTGATTTGGCACCTGCGGGTGTGGAGTTGATCTGTACAGTAGCAGGAAAACATCCTACATCTCTTGAGTAGTTCCTTCTCCCCTCATCTTCAGCAACCTCCGTTTAAAGGTACCAACAAAGCGCTCAGCTTGCCCATTGGACTGCGGGTGGAACGGTGGCGAGCGTAGGTGTATGATATCGTTCTGCGTACAGTATTCGGCGAACTGCAAAAATGCAAGCTGAGGGCCATTTCAGTAACCAGGGTCTCTGGTATTCCATCTTGGGCGAAAAGTCTTCTCAATACGCCACTGGTTGCACCAATTGTTATGCCTTCCATGCAGAACACTTCCGGTCACTTAATAAAGGAAGCAACAACGATGAGATACTGTTGTCCATTCACGGGATCAAGAATTCCGCGTGTACTCGCTGCCACGGTTTCGCTGACAACGGCCAAGAAGACAATTCCGCTTTCGTAGTCACCTTGCTTATAGGCGCACATGTCGGATACGACTTCGCTAGCTGTTCCAGCGCCGAGTCGATATTCGGCCAATAAACGTAACTCCGCGCAAGCACTTCCCTTCTGTTAATGCCAGTGTGTCCTAGATGAAACTGCCGTAGAATTCTTTGGCGAAGCTCACTAGGGATAGCAACTCTCCACCAAAGGTAAACAACCATTGACGATGGCTAATTCGTCTCTTCTGCGGGACAGGCTTTGCAATTCCCCATTTAGCTTGTCTTTCGGTATGAATCCTGACCAGTTGTTGTAGGACAGGGTCCAGCATTGATGCGTCGCGTATCATTTCGAAAGTTACCGGAAGTTCTCTGAGCGTTTCCAACAACACCTGATTCACTTCCGACTCCAGAGAGATCGCTGCAATGATAAATTCTTCTTGCTGGCTTTCCAGTAACTGGGAAAGTGCCTTAGCCTGACCACTGTCTTTGTAGAAATGTGCTTCACCGTAAAGTTGTGGCCAAGTAATGTAGTAGCCCACCGCTGCAAACTGTTTGCCCTATAGATAGGATGCCCGACTTTGATCCGAAAACTGCCAACAGCGGCTTATGGTCAGTAAGAAGTGTAAACTTCCTTCCATACAGCATTTTGTGAAATTGCTTTACAGTGAAGACTATCGCCAAGGCTTCTTTCTCTATCCGGCCATAATTTTGCTCTGCGACACAGCGGCGGGGCTGCATTTGCGATTGCCTTTTCTGAACCATCTGCGAACTTGTGGGCTGACTGCGCCAATGTCATAGTTCAAGGCGTCTGCGGCCACCACAATCTCCAAAGTGGGATCATAATGTGTTAGCAGAAGGTCGGAATATAATAGCTTTTTACCTCGTCAAATGAGCTCTGGCATTCTTCGGACCAGTTCCAGTGTTTATCCTTTGTCGCAGGTCACTGAGTGGACCACGCAGGCGATTCACATGCGGTAAGAACGGGCTGTGATGGATTATGAGTTTTAGAAAGGACCTTAGCGTTGCAACCTCATTAAGCGGCGGCATCTTCTTGATAGCCTCGATGTTCGCTGGGTCTGGACACCTGCCGTTCCTGTCGATGATAAAGCTGAGAAACGTAATCAAGTCTATGAAGAAGGTAAATTTATCAGGTGGGAGTCT